GATGTGCTAAGCTAAAATGATCGGAGTCGCTCAATCATAATGAGGTCAATCAGTGTGGGGTGCGTTTTAATCAATGTCCAGCTCTACTGAGGCCTGAAATGTCAAACCGACTCTGTTTACACTGCGTTAAGGGCAACCGCAGATTTCTGGGAAAGGTTTGACAAGCAATTCCCATCTCGGTTTCAATTACTAACTGTAGCGTGCAGGCTGAAAATGACAGATGAACGGAAAGGACGATCGAACCGTTTGTGGTTAAACGGAAGTAAGTGCCAGGCACACTTGAGCCCCTGTCTCAGTTCGTTCTTATAACTCGGAGTGCACATTAGTTTCTGGTACCTGAGTTCTTTTGAACGTAAACTGATGAGTTGGTTAACGTTCTCCAACCACAGAATTTTTATAGAAAATTCTGAATTCATCTAGAAAATTACGTGCTTTTAAACTTTTAAATTTTTAAACTTAAATATGCTTTATTCTTTGCCCAAAATGTAACCACTTCACGCACTGTTGATATGCTTAATATGACATAACAGCAGTCTGTATATTTTCGAAGATCAAATTCTTCGATTCTCAGTCATCCAGACAATTGATAGGCGCAATGCGAGAAGTATTCATGCAGTCTTGTAGGCGTTACCATGGGCTTCAAGCGGACTGCACTGATTAGCGCAATGCGTGAAGTATTTCTAAGGTCTTGCAGGCGCTAATATAAGGTTAACGTCGGCCGCACTGTGTTTGGCGCAATCATTGGAACTCGCGTTAGAATAATCGCAGCATCGAATAATAGAGCTCAAAAGGCATATGTTGTGTTTCGACGCCGCGCCGTACAAGCATTCCAACGTTGCCTCGTTCCTCCCGATTAAATATTTTTTCCGAGAAAAGTTAAGGAAGTTCTTTATACCCAGGACCATGATTTAATATTTTCACTTCATTCATCATCAGAAGGTAAGACATCGATGACTTTCCAACAAGCTAACCTAAACTAGCGTTATCATGGCGTTTATTTTCCAACTGTTTCCTGTTTTGCCAAACTTCTACCTTAAATCAACTTCATTTTAAATTCGCGCATTCCTGTAGCGGATGTTAAGGTTTCTATTCGCACAATCCTCATATATTTTCTTAGACCTTTCGCGCAATCCTGGATTACCGACTCCATTCTGCGGTTGGAAAATTGACTCAAACAATTCAAATTTTCACAAGAGTGAACCTGAGCAATTTTTTTCCAAAATTTCTCTGATTTGTGTAAGAGATCAGAAGAAAACGGTGAAATTTTCAGTTAGATTTCTAACTGAAAATTTCCAGAAATATTTTAGAATCTTGGACATGTGTCCAAATTTATAAAGAAAAATGTTTGTAAAAATGCATTTGCATCCCCATGCTAGGGGAAATTTGGCAAAAATGAACTGTAGTAACGTTCTTTCATAGATAGAAGGACGTTTTTACTCAAAACTTACTACAGATTGATGGCCAAAGCAATAGGCAAAGAAGACGTAGGCAGTATAGAGCGATCCTATTAGTTGAGATGGTTGGTTCCTATAGACAACGAGAGAAAAGTATGGACTAACTATAGGGTCTCTTGTCGATTACTGTTAGTTAGTCTGTTATTTACCTTCTTTGTCATTTGCAACTACCTGCTTCCACCATAGTATTCCTCCATATCGACGGTGAAACTACCAAACCACGTATCTCGGTTTGCGACGTCGCAGACTTCCTGTCATACTTTATTTTTTAAATGAAAAATTACTTAACATCCAGTCTTGAAAATTTCTGTGATTTTTCCTCCTTGTGCGGAGAAAATTCCGTGAAAATTTCAAGGAATGATATTGATTTGGTCTACTTCAAAAAAATAAAATGTGAGCGTAGATTTTTAAACACCGCAAACGAGATACGTGGTTTGGTAGTTTCACCGTCGATATCCTTTTTGTCTTCTGCGTCTATGGCTTTGCCCATCAATTTCAACAGTCAGCCCGCAGCTTTAAATACCCCACACTAACAATCTAAGCAATGTAATCGAGGAAGATAAAAGGTAAGGCTGGAGGTCAACGCTATTTTTTTCGTAATGACAATTCATGAGTAAAAAATCAACATTTCGCATTGATGACGACTAATTAATGTCAAAATTCGCTTTTCGAGGCGACATTTTGTAAATTCGGTTAGATTTGCGTGGGATTCATCTAAAGATGTAGCAAATCCGTCCAAAAGTGCCAAAAAAAGGCCGCTAAGTAGCTCAACTTTCTTTCCTTTAACGTTGGCTGAATCTGGCCGTTAACTTTCGCAACGGACCATTACACTTCAGGGTTGGTAGTGTCTGGATCTCTGAAATATAGGGCGTCCTAAAAATCCGATCCACCCCCTCAACAAGTTTACCTTATTCATATTTTACACTGGGAAAAAAAAAAAAAAAACATTGGATCTAGAGTCCAAACTCTTGAAAACATCGACAAGAAAAAATACTCTTGATTCAATCGGATTTTTGCTTCAATCAAAAACCAAGCCTCTTAATTTGAGCGGATTTCCTTTTGATTTAAGCTTAAATCTGATTGAAGCAAGAGTATGTTTTCCTGTCAATGTTTTCAAGAGTCTGGACTCTAGATCCAATGTGTTTTTTTTTTTTTCTTTTTTTCCAGCGTAAAACAAAACTTTGGGGCGGATGTTCATGGATCAATGTAAACTACGTTTGCGGTCCTCAAAATTTTCAGGGGTGGGGGAGGGGGGTGGGGGCTGAAGACCCTTTTTCGTTTCAAAATATGAATCAGGCAAAATTCAAGAGGGATGGACCGGACTTTCGGGACACCCTGTATCGTCCATGCGAGGTCCATTCGCGAAGGGTGAGTATCGCCCGCTAATAAGAGATCAACGCTGATCGTTAGCCGGCGCGGAATCAACAATCGACGTCCCGCCCCGACTCCTCCGCGAAGGGCGACCGACGCAGGCAGATTTGACTCGGTGACCCAGTTGCGTCCCCCTGCCCCCCCCCCTCCCCCCGGTCGCAGCCGGCGTCCTGGGCGATCGACGCGCGGCTTTCGGCCGTGACCCGCTTCGCGTTTCATTGCATACACATCGTCGCCCTCCTGACATAAGAACGTAACTACATTTTGCGGTGAACCCTGTCGTCCATTCGACCGAACGGCTTCCCGGGCTCAACATTAAGGGTAGTTATGCCCTTTTGTTAGCCAAGCGACGACATAATGGTGGCTTACCTATCGCCCAGTGCCATGATTCGCATGAGTCGTCTAAGGGTCGCGACTCAGCCCCCCAGAACGCCCCATTGATTCAACTAGGGGGATCCCTTCTGGTCGTCGCGAAGCTTAATCCTAAGCAGTGGTGGATCCGAAGACAGCTCAAGGTGGAGAAGCATTTGGTGATGTAGAGTGAGGGTCTCGGGACAATCAAGAGAATTGGAGCCAAGATGATCAGGGTGTCTTGCCTTGAGAGTAATCCTCAAAGAATGCAACTAGACACTCTGAGATTTCTTTTCACATACGTTAAGCTTAAATGTTAAGGTAAACATTCCTTCAAAGAAAACTGAAATCAGAAGTTTGCCTTAAGAGCTATGCAAAGTAGGAATTTTTCATTTGTTCTCGGTAAAATTTTGAAGCTCCAGGTTTCTGCTGAAGACATGACACGCCGTAGATATGACTCAGACCTTCAAAAGTATTTTTCTCAAAACCTGCGTGTATTTTCCGGGCAAGGCCCTCAACATTTAATTACATTTAAATAATGTTTCCATTATCTTTCAGCATATTCAACACAGATCAGCTGTCACCATTTTGCATCTTCAATTTTGTGTTTCATCGAAGTGCTTTAAAACTCTATGTATTTATCCATCTTGGAAAGTTTTTAACTCAGAAAAAAAATTAGTAGAGATGTAAAAAGCAAAAATGTGCACAAACTTAGACGCATAAAAGTAGGACTCGTAAAGCCTATGCCATTAAATTTTTAGACGGTGTGTCGAATTTCGGTTGAAAATTATTCATAAAATGACCCTTTGCGATGAATATGAAAAGCTTACTTTGGTTCAGCAGTAAAGCAACTTCTCGTACCGAACCTTTTGTGAGTATAGTCTTCACGATCTTTGGTAGGTATAAAAAAAGTTTCAAACCGTTTTGTTTCGTGGTTTTTAGTTAAATAAATATACAAGGCCATAAGGCCCCGTATTATTCACCCAAACCGATCCTTAAAATGACTGGCTCTGTAAAAAAAATCACCGATTTCAAAGTCGCATGCAAAATTATTCGGACTACGTTTTGCAATTAAGAATTAAAATTTCTGATTCATTTTACAAACAACGTTTGTATCTTAGTTTCCTTATGCAGACAAGTGTTATTACGGATAAGCCAGATAATATCTAATTGCAAAATACAGCCCATTTGGAAGAGAACTAATTATACGTCGTTGGAAATTGACATAAATTTAGTCCCTAACTGGCTTGCCGCAGAGAGAGAGCTACCAGTTCTTTTAGCGCTGCAACCTGTTTACTACAAAAAACGGCCGGATCCCGGATTTCATCGAACACGGGGCATATTCCGCTAATGCAAGTGATGGAAGCGTGCGGCATAGCAGGCGGAAGCCAGCCGCGCTGCCAGATCGCGCGGAAACCCGGGAATTTCCACGTCCAAGCAGGCTGCCGTGCTAAGGAAAAACGCCGTATGAGCCTTCAGGCGTTGCCAAATTTCCCCTGGCAAATCGCTAATTTTCAGGAAAACTTTTGATTGTTTGTCTACCAATTTCTCAGACAATTTCGTTTGTAATTAGATCTAAGACGTCTAAAAGTGTCAAGGAAAAATATTCAAAATATTTCTCAAAAATACAATTTTATCGAAGGAAATCTGGCAACTCTCGAATGTTCATACGGCGTTCTTCCTTAGCACGGCAGAATGAGTAGCATTTCCGGACGATATGGCAACGGCGGACTTCGGCGTCGGGGAAAGCAACACTGGCGCGACGGAAAGTGGTGATAACAGCTGAGCTAACAGGAATATCGCGAGGACGGGCGACGTGGTCGCGGGGCACAGTCTCTGGTGCGCGCCGCTACTATGCCCCCCCTTGGTGCCCCCTGGTGAAGTCCTGTTGAGCCCCACCGCGTGTCCTGCATTTCCGGTTCCGAACAAACGACATGGACGCGATTTTTGCACCTCTCCGTTGAGGGATCCCTCGTGCGAGGCCGCTTTCGCCTTTTCGCCACTTGAATTTCATCGGGTTTCAGAGGCAGTGAAAAGCGCCGAGGAACCGGCTTTCTCGGACGAGAGGAGGTCTGCTTGTCGTCGAAAATGGTCAGCGGAATTATACGTACTTATTCTTATTAAAAATGCACTGAAAAAAAGTGATGTTGATTTGAGAGGCTTGGAGGACAAGGCGCATGAGTGCAGTTTTTGAAAAAATTGAGATATTGATGATTCCGAGTGAAACTAGTCTTCATGCATTTTCTGTATAAAAAAGTAGCTGCTACAATCCAATTTTTGATCATTAAAAAGTCAGTTTGAACTTTCTTTCCGCCTTAAGGACCAGTGTAATTTCGAAACCTTAAACACGTATTTCTCAAAGCAGCGAAAACTGCACTTATACGCCTTGTCCTCCAAGCCACTCATTCAACATTCTGGATGTAAAAATAGTGTGCGAGAACGTATAAATTGCTGAAATAGCCGCTAGAGCAGTTACTTTAGCATCGTTAAGATGTAAAACTAATGGTTGTGGCGGGTAATTCAACATTTTATAACTTCTCGCACACTTTTTTTACATCCAGAATGTTAAATCAACTTCACTTTTTTTCGGTGTTCGTTGATGAAGTCAACTAATTAGGCATTGTCAAAGAAAGCTCTTACCGGTAAATATACCAAGCATCATCATGATTAGTGTTTTTGAATTTCTTTCATTTCCAGTCAAAATAATATGAATGATACACGCAAATAGCCCGAATAATGCAACTAAAAACACAAGAAAACGGGCAACTAAGGCTAAAAAACAACAAATACAAAGCCTGAGACGTTTCGGGGTAGTTTCAACCCCCTCATCAACCAAGAAACAAAAATAATTACAAAGTTATGAAAATCAAGATTCCGAGACCCCCATTTGTTAGAAACCAAAAGGAGTCCACCCCCGAAACGCTTCAGACTTTATATTTATTGTTTTTACGGCTTGGTAACCCGTTTCCTTGTGTTTTTAGTCGAAATAAAATATATACATGCTATTTAAGTTTTAAACCAGGAATCATGACTTTTCAAAAATGCTTAACAATGAGAATTTTCACAAAAGGAGCTATGAAGTTCCTGAGTTGAAAGATTCGTCCTAGAGCATTTTCGAAAAGTAACGATTCCTGATTTTAAACCTACAAACGTAAGCAGACACGGGGTTGACACAAATGGAAGATATTCAAACGATACAGGCGTGTATGTCCTAAAACTTGATTGAGATTGATTTGTTCCCCGATGTGAGCTATCGTTGACTTGGGCTCTTTTTCCAACGACATCCTTAATTTTGCTGATTTTTTAGTGTACTCGGGAGAAAAATGACGTGTAATTCAAACGATACAGGCGTGTATGTCCTAAAACTCGATTGAGATTGATTTGTTCCCCGATGTGAGCTTTCGTTGACTTAGGCTCTTTCCCCAACGATATCCTTAATTTTGCTGATTTTTTAGTGTAATCGGGAGAAAAATTTCAGTGTTGCCAACTTTCCAGAATCGGCACTGACCAGGTGCAACTTTAATGGATATCTTGCGCGGTGATTTGAAATTGACGTAGCTATACCCTTGTGCACTTTCACTAGAAACACAATGATGTCACAGCTTTTCTCTAAAACAAACTCCCAAGCTCAATAAAAGCTCTCAAAGTTGAGCCCGTAATGGAGGGGATTGCCTACGTACGAAGAGAGTCCACCTCCATATCCGGTCAAACTCTCCAAGTACAGATAGGGAGTAAATACATTAGCAACGTTGCCCCTTTGCTTGCGGGAACGATGAGGGAATCATTTCACGGAATTCGAAATTCATCATCCTTAATCCTCCCGGCTTTTTGGAGACGGGGCTTTGTTGCTAGAGTGTGCTGAAAAATCAGCACTAATTCAAACCCACGTAAAATATCTCATTTTAATGGCAAAACCTAGCAACTTTGGATGGGGATGCGGTGGGAGGGGGACCTAAATTTAGAAGTCAAAGATCTCGGTATAATTTTCGAATCAGGCTATCAAAATCATAAATTACAGAAACATAAATCTGATTTGCAGTTATCAAAAAGTACAAAATCGAGCATCTTCACACCAAAATACTAGCTATAATAAAGAGACGATGCTTCCCACTATAATATACCAGGTCAATTTTACGTAAAGGCCTTGGGAAAAATTGTTAGATTCAACAATCGCCGTCAGAGAGTCCGAATTTGATGGTCTCGCGGCCTACGAGGCTACACTAATGAGATTTCTTTTTCTTTTCTTTTCTTCTTTTTTTTCTCTCTTTTTTTTTCATTTTCGTGTGTGTCACACTAGGTGGTTTTGAAAAATGCAAGGAAACACCCAGATCCGTGATATTGGGGGAGCCTTAAATGTTTGAATTTTCAAATTTAACTTACTCCTTTGCTTCATCATCGGTGAAGTCCCAAGGGACTTCCAGATCGTCAGACCCCGATTTTGCAGAACCGATCCCAAAGCCTCTATTTATTACTTTAACGAGCTGTCATTATCTGAGTGTGCAGTGGGGGGGGGGTTGGGATCTGTGTTCCACCTTTAGGTTAGTATTATGGACAAGGAATGGGCTGATTTTGGAATTTTTTGCGTTGATTGAGATTAAAAGTTCACTTACCTTCTTCCGGTGAAATAATTTCAAAATTAAGCCAGGAACTTCGATTTTTAAAATCAAGACCTCTCTTTTACCACCAAAATAGAGCGTAAGGGAGCCTCATGATGATGAAACTTGTATTCCTTAAGGTCAATTCCGTATAATTGTTTTCGTAGAAAGCGACCTCGTTCGACCTAAAAAAAAAGCTTGGCTCGGGTAGTCTGCAACACCCCGTATTGACTCTTCAATCAGGATTCTAAGGAATTGTATGTTTAAGCCGGCGTCTCTTTTCCAGTTAGCTCTGTTTTGTAAATGTCAAGCGAATGAATAAACTATCCGAGGAGCAGTAGGAGCCAGGCAAACATTGAAATTATTCATCTCTGATCGAATTCGCATAAAAAGGCGAATACGGATGATGAAGAAATGAAACGGGGAAGAGGAGTTCAAGTCCCTAGAGATTGACATTCATCGGCGGGTATTTGCTATGTGCTCTCAGAAGATCATGTATGTTTAAAAGAAGAGTAACAATTAACCTGAAGATCGCCCTGATTCCCTTCCTGAAGTTTTGTAAGCATAAGGAACATAAAATATTCTGTGTAGTTCAATTACCGAAACAGGAATTTAATATTTAGGCAATCGAACACTTCGGTTTGCTAAACTTCAGCAACCCGGATAATGTGTAAACTTTCAGTCCCAAATTCTGTTGGTTACGGTCGGTTGAAAGTCCGCACGTTGAGTGTTTTTGCAGGAATCGAAGTCCACCCATAAATGATGATGACGGTGCAGAGCATCAACCATATGTAATCTATGAAATGTCCCCAATATACAACCAGGTCGCCGGACGAGATAAAAACATCACAGAAAATGTGTGCATCTAATTGTTTCTTAAACATTGTACGTTTAATACGGAAAAAATCGGATATGTTTTTATTTTCCACTTATATATGAGAAATTATAGATTTACGTGATCGTCATAAATTTTCCACTCTTCAAAAGCAAAGTAATAAAAACAACTCGATTTATTGGACTTGACTTGGTACAAAAATACTAATTTTTAGTAGGTATGGTGACATAATAGAATAAAAATTCTGATGCAGACTACAGATTATAAGTTCTCATATTATTATCAATATTGGAATCGTCTATTACAGTAGGCTTAATGTGCGCAAATTGTTTTTTGAGACACATGTTTCATGGTGCCTCAGTTCTTGCCAAGTTCACTTCTCTATGTAAAGTTCGGTACCAACAACAGTCAATACTTCTCTTCATAAGACCATCTTTAGGTGTTAATGACCTCAAAAACATTTCAACTTATCAGAAAATGATATTCCGGATGGAATTGAATCAAGCAGCAATTTCTTTTTTCAAAAATGGCGGTGCGTTTTTTTCGCCTCTGCATGAGTGAGGATAGTAAAGAAAGAAAGGGAGAAAAAACTAGAAACACCTTGCAGAAAGTGGATGAAAAATCAACGTCTGAGATATCGTGTCAATAAAAATATTAACTAGTAATTAGTGCCGAAAAAATTGGCGATAAATTATGTTTTCCATAACGATTGACTCAACATGATTTACGTGGCCATCCAACCTAAGTTTTTTCCTGAAAATAATTGATCACACTAATCATGATGATTGCAGGAAAAAGGGCATATTCCAAATTTGAGCATAATGATTTTCGATTATTGCGGTAATTTGGCAAAGCGTGAAATGGCATGCCCTAAAATGAAGCAGATTGATTTGAACAGTTGTGCTCGAGGCCTGATCAACAGATTTAGGATCGAGTCAACGACCCCTGTTTTTCCAGTAAACACTCAACATCTATATAAATACACGCGGTCTTGTTTTCATGGGCTAGGATCATCAGTTTTTCTTTCAAATTTGTGAAACTTTTTCGCAACAAAGTTCCACGATCATGTCTATGCAGTTAACAGCTTGGCCAGGGACACATATATAACTGTTGTCCGATGAGGAGACTTGAGTTCCCGTGGAGACAATTTGTACACTAAGCTATTTCTGGATGTCGTTTTAACGGTTCCGTTTATTATGAAACTTTGAAAAAAATGCATGCACGCGAAAAAAGTCCATCCGCATTAATCCATACAATCATTCAAACATTGGGGCTCTTATTATATACCCTGCACGTCTAATTTTCTTTATTTTTTGCGCGCCATTCAAGGCGAACTTATTGCAAAGGCTGGTGAGCCTGCCGGGTGATCCTTGATTTTATGCTTGAAATTGCTATATGTACAATTGAGAGCGAAAGTACGAAAAATCATGATTTTTTTCCAAAAAAGGGGGAGAGGGGAGGGGTACTGCCACCTCTCTTGCAGAATCTCTCATATATGAACCAAAATCCGAGACAATAAATTTTACTTTCAATTACCCGAGGAGTGGATATTGCCTTCAATGTCCATTAAAATATTTCATTCAGCTATTTTTATCGTATTTATTTTGAACTGCCAATACTTGTCCTTCCTAATTGTATGCAAATGGTTGAGGAGAGCGTGC